GTTCAGAACAGATTAACCTTCTTTACATTGAACCTTATGGGGAAATCTGATTCGGTTGGCAACCATTTTGGTTGGCGACCACGTTCGTAGGGGTCAGAATGGATTAACCTTCTTTACATTGAACCTTATGGGGAAATCTGATTCGGTTGGCAACCAATTTGGTTGGCGACCACGTTCGTAGGGGTCAGAATGGATTAACCTTCTTTACATTGAACCTTATGGGGAAATTTGATTCGGTTGGCGACCAATTCGGTTGGCAACCAGAACCATGGAATGAATTAAGTTCGTGAACCGAGGTACCATTGTATATGTATATAAGGAAGAATATTAACACAATCTACACCTGCAAGAACAGACAGACGGTCCATTTAGAGGCAGAGAGCTGGGTAATCCAGGAGGATGTAACAAATGTAAATGAAGAGTTGGTGGGATGTTGGGGTGCTGGGATGAGATCCGTGACGTTGTTGTGAGGTTTTGTGGGTTATACCGATTCTGATTTTATGGAATGTCATTGTGAGCCTTTTATTAGCCTTCGTGAGCAACAGCTCTCTTCATCAGATGCATTGGATGGTTAAGCCTTTTAATAAAATCTGTTAGCTGGAAAAGGTGCCGCCAGACTCCTTGGGAAGTTTTGCCACCATAGGCTAACAACGTCTAGACCAGTGTTTCTCAAACTTGGCATCTTTAAGATGGGTGGACTTCAACTCCCAGAATTCCCCAGCCAGCATTGCTGGCTGGGGTATTCTGGGAGTTGGAGTCCATACATTTTAAAGTTGCCAAGTTTGAGAAACACTGGTCTAGATGAATCTAATTCATCACCTTCTAAAGCAGACCGTTTCACTGACAACGTAGCCTGCATGCTCAGCCCAAAATCGGGAGGGGACTGGTAGTACCTTTTCTGATCAACGTATTTTATTACAAGGAATAAACCTGCTACAGCTCTCCTCCTACAGTGTCCTGTAGGCTTCCTAATATGTTACGTTGCAAAATTCATTTATTTTTTATTTTATTTATATTCCAAATTTGTCACCGCCCCTCTCACTCTGGGCGGCTTACAGCAAAAATAGAATAAATATTGATTAAAACAGATCAATATGAATGAATGAATTAAAATGTGCTAAAAACAGGTTAAAAACTGGTTCTGATATTGCTTCATCTTCAGAAATCCATCCCCTTCAAACCTTCTTTCTCTGCCAATTGGTTCCCGGTGCCTGTACATTTACTCGGGGCTCACACTCAGGATTACGTTTCTACAGGATCGCAATTTTAAATCGCCAACAAGGTTCCGTTCCGCATTATTTCTGTCCCATTTTATGCTCAGAATAGCTCTGCAAGGGAGGCTATGCAGAGAACGTATCTAGACCAGTGTTTTTCAACCTGGGCAGCTTTCAACCACTTCATTTTCTCACCTGCTTTGCAATTTGCCACACGGTGTCCAGTTTGATCACTTTGGCTGATCCTCCTTCTCTGCTGACACTCTCTGGAACGAGCAAGAGAAGGAGAAAGAGGAGAACCGATATGAGAACACGCTTTCGGCGTCTCCACCACCCTCGTGGAAAGTTGGAGAGGGAAGAAAGGGCATCCGAGGTTTCGTATATTGATCGCTGCTCCCTCCCTGATTTTATTCTGCTCCCTTCTTCTGTTTCTTTATTCGACAGACAGCCTCTGGATTACTCAAAAAGCTGAGGGTGATGTACGCGGTTCCATTTTATGCTCAAGATAACTCTGCACGGGAGGCTATGCAGAGAACGTATCTAGACCAGTGTTTTTCAACCTGGGCAGCTTGAAGCGGTGTGGACTTCAACTCCCAGAAT